CCGGGGTAATAAAAAAAGTTGCAAAGACGCGGAAGCCTAATAAAAATCTTTTCCCGCCTACGACTCCGTTAATTACCATAAGTTAATTACAACGGCGTGAAAGCGCAGCCACCCCCTCGCGTCGTCGCGCCACCCTCTGCTCCCGCACACAGGCCCTGCGAATCTATTTATGTATATACACGTACTTATATATATATCCGTCGCCTACCGCCGCTATTGCCACCCCCTATACCCACCCCCGTCATATTTACGAGGCGAACTTTGCTTTAAGCCTGCCGATGTTTTAACTTTATCGCGACCGAAGTATGATTTTACGAGAAGCCCGCGGGCTAAATATGCCCGCGTCGTAAAATTAACGGCGTTTCCATAAAGGAATCCGGTGTGCTTGCGTTAAAACTCGATAAAAGCCAATAAAGCATCGCCACGGAGAGCGCAGTTTAGTATAGTTTATCGCCCTTCCCCTTCACGAACTCTCACGAGCCGGTGTCCACGGTTAACCGGTGCCAACCTGCGCCCATTTGCAGCCTCCTCGGATAAGACTTACGAGGATTCTAAGGAAGGAGAGTTCGAGGACCTCGCGACCCACGGGCCCGATCCTCCGGGCCCCGCAGAAGGACCCCGCGTTCCGCGCCCGGGCACCCAACGACCAGCTGTTAATTTTTATTGGCCCGAACTTGCACGGTCCCCGCGCTCTTTTGTTTCGTATTCCTTCCACGATTTTCGGCCATTTCGACGTGAAAACCAGGGGAACGAGCGAGAGGATTCACGATGGTTCGTGGAGTGTTGGAAACGACGCGGGTGGATCGACGTCCAAGCGGGGTAAGCTTCGTAAATACTGTCGCGAGTGGGACTAGAGGGTTCCTTCCCTCTTACTAACTATATTGCAAGCAACCCCTACTTTGCGCGGTGGGAATGAGCTTTTAACGAGTGCAAACGATCTTATTTTAGCAACTGTTGTTCAACGTGCGATTACTACATACCGCTTTTTCCTAAAATTCACAAAATTCCCAAAATTCCCAAAATTTCCAAAATTCCCAAAATTCTTGCGCCTTATCTTATTATATCAAGTACCACCAGATCTCAATGGCGAGTTAATCATCCACATTAACCCTTCAACAGTTTACCCCGTGACAGTCATAGGCAGAGCGTCAGGCACTATGCACGGACTAGTTATTGCACTAACAAAATGCACATAAAACAAGATCTTTTACATTTTTCAATACATACCGAAATATTTTCGAAGATAAAACTAATTATACATTTTTTGGACCTAAATTCGTAATTTTGCCACAAAATCACAAGGGTTAACAACTATCGTGCACAGTCTTTACACGGAATGACGAATGCAAAGAGTGACTACTTGATAATCTCCATTGCAAATTATAGTAATCGCGAGTAATAACGTTCGTCGTGCTCGAGAAATCGTAGGAACACGTTTGGAAAGGATGATCGGGGCCGCAGGTTGCTCGATCACGGGATCGCGGCACGCACCGAGAGTACGCACAGTGTGCACGATGTACACGCAAGATAAGTGGTCGATTATCGTCTGTTCGTCGGGTAATGCCACTAAAAAGCAGCATCCCCGTTGGGCGGCAGATAGTGTTGTCTCGGTTAGTACTCGGCGACACGATCATTTTACAACTGAGCTACTATATATTGGTAATGGGTCGGTTTTATCTGGTGGCGGGCAGCCTCCGTCCCGTGGAAACGCTGCCTTAGACCGTGTCTCCTGTATACGCACACCTGCATTTTTGCGCATCGGTATCTTTATGGTGGCATAAAACGGGTTTACCGAGCAATTTAAATGCCGTTCGCCGCATTAACCGCGCGCCTTAATACATTTTTGTAATTCTAAAATTAGACGTTTACTCGCGCCCGGACCGGGGGACACGGGGGACCTTGCGTGCCCCGTAATCGCGGGTACCGACAAATTAATTTCGTTCGTCCCGGGGATGAACCGGGGGCCCCTCCGTACCAAAATTCCTGGCCAGAGCAGGAAGAACTAAACTCACTGTTACAGAGATAAGCATCGAAGAATATATATACACACATACGTACGTACATGCTAGCACAGGGAACCCCGAGCACGGAGTCCGTTTCGCGAACCGTGCGTGCATGGAGGAACTGTTTGGTCGCGAAATCGACGTTTGGTCGTCGATTGGACGACGGCTGGTAATTTCTGGTTGGTAAACGTTTGCCAGTGGTAACTGGGAAAGAACGGTGGTGGAATTTTCGAAGGCAATGGACGCGAAGGCAAAGCAAGAGAGACAGCGTGCTCTCGGAAAGGGACAAGGGCGTCCACATAACTCTGCGGGATCTAGCGAGCGGGGCACGGAGGCAGGACCCGCACAACAACCCTTTGAAGGTTTATGCCGATTCAGGAACGAGTTGATTCATGAAGACGGGATGGACCTCCTTGGGATCCGCGGCTCGGTGCCCCCAAGGCCGTGGCGGGTGGTCCCGCGGCTTGATTTCTTGTTTCCTCCACCACGCTGGATCTGGCCTGCGTTCTCCTCTCTCGTCCTCTCTCGCTCGGACATGCCGGCAACGAGACGGCGAAACGGATCGGCCACGGCCGCGGGACAGTGACAGAGGTAACCGACGACGGAGGAGGGCAAAAGAAGGGAACCAGGCCGGCATTCCCCGCTGCTGTCCCCGGTATACCTATAGCGATTGTCGATTTAAATGTTTACTAATAACCAAGCTTGTCCCGCAACCACCCAGAAGTCGGTCGCTTTGCATTTTTATAAGTACATCTTACGGCCGGTTCCGAGAACGAGAGGACGTTTCATATTCATCCGCTGCCGCCGACGCCACCGTCGCGCCGCCGGTCCACCGTCCTCTCCGCTTCACTTCGCGATGCTCCGGGACTCCTCCCGGCGCGTATTGTCTCTCCGCTCCCGATGCATGCGCCCCGCGATTAGCTGGCCACCGGCATAATCGTTCCCGTTGCCCGTTCGTGAGTCGAATCGTTAGGACCATCCCGTGTCTCCCTCCTCTGAGCGACCATCCGGTACGCGCGCGTGGGAAAACGTCCACCGGGGGGTTCCTTCCTCCCGATCCTTCGTCGGGGAATCGGTATTTCACGGTAGTGGCTGGTGTCGTTGGAATCGCGATGATCTCGTGATGCGATCGACGATCGATCACGCGGGGACCTCGAGGGGGGGACCAGGCAGACGGGGTGAAAGAACGACAAAAGAGAGGTTACATGTATATTTTTTTATAATGATTCGTTTATTGCGAAAGGACACAGTCTGCGAGCCATCTGCCAATGTGGCATCAGCGAGCTCGCGTGAAATTTTGGACACGAATGACTAAAAGGTGATGGCGATCGTTCACTCTCGACATGACATGATATGTTGACAGTCGCTGCGCCCTGCGGCTGTCGCGTCTCGTCTAACGAGAACAATCTCCGACTCGTAGTACGCGTTTCTCCTTTTCTCTTTTCCTATTTCCTCCCCTCTCCACTCTCCCTTTTCCCTGTTCCACCGAGAGAAGCCGGGGGAAACCGCACCACCGTGCAGTCGCGAACAGATCGGGGCGCAACGCGGGTTCCAGGTTCTGTCAGATTACGGGCGGAGTCGAAACGACGAAAGCGCGTCGCTTGCGAAATCGATCGAAAGGTTCCAAAGAAAGAGATGACGGAAGAAATGGAGAAGAAAGATTGACAGGGGAAAAACAGAAAAGAGCAACAGACAGAAAGAGTACGACTGAGCGAGAAAGACACGAAGAAAGAAATAAGGGGGAGAGGGAGAGAGGGGAGAGAGAGAGAGAGAGAGAGAGAGAGAGAACGAAATAAGGGAAAGAAGAAGATGGATACACGCGTGGCGAACGACGCGTGTCGTCGATTACGATCTCTTAACGCGCGCTCGCTATATATTATTATATCACGATCAGCGACGATTCTTCTCCGGGACTTTCGTCGTCGCGCGAAAACACGCTCGAGCAAATAAATAAATAATACTTACGAACGGAGAAAACGAAACTCGGGCGCAAGACGCAACACACTTCCAAACGTGGCACTCTCGCACGGGGTTGCGCTCCACCCGTCCTCCGTAATCTGTCACAGTAATCAACGATCCATACCTCGTCATGATCGACCGAGTCGACGTGAATCGATAATGTTATAAACATTGCGATAACAATAATAATAATCAATAATAATAATAATAATAATAAATAATCGTCGTCGTTAGTATGAATTATGATCTGCAATATTATAATAATAATATCGTACCTACTCTACATACAATACATACACTGGCCGGACGCTCTCTACTGGGCCCTCTCTACTATTTACAAACGCATAAATAATTATTAATTATTATCGTGTATTTATATATATAGTATTCTTTATGTATAATATTACTGTCGTAGTAGACACGCCTAGGATAGTGTATCTTTTTTTTAATTTACCATTTTATAAACCGCGAGAGATTAGCTGCACTGGCTGCTCTACGGAAGAGATAAACGGGCCTACGATTTTTTTCCTCCCTCTTTCGCTTTTCTCTATTCTTTATTTTTCTCTTCGTTTCTATCATTCCTTTCTTTTCCTCCCCCTTTGCGTTTCCTTCCTTTCACCGATCGACCTTTCCAAAACCTTTTCTTCTCTCTTGTCCCGTTCTCGGCGAGGACAGGAGGAGAGAGAGCTCGCGACGAAGGACGAGAGAGCAGGAACCAAGAGGGGCGGGGATGGAGGGGCAGAGGATAATACCGGGGAACGAGGGGAAGCGAAGGTAATCGACGAGGCGAAGAAGACAGACAGACAGACAGACAGACAGACAGACTAGGAACGGTGGAGAGAGACCAGGGATTTTCAGGGGCAGTATATATCGTGTATCTCGTTCATTCGTTCAATTACTGTACACTAATTACAAGATCGTAGTCTCTGATTATTATTGTCATCCACACCACACAGCGCCGCGCCAACGGCCGCGCGGCGATCCGTCCCTCGAAAACTTCGATTAATAATAAAAGTCCAGCGTGCCGGCGCACGGGAATCACACTCGCCCCGGTGACTTGAGCTCCTGCGTGGACGGCAGGCTTCCGCTCGGATGGGGCGACTGGTCGGACCCCCCGGACGACGCCGTCGACGAGGACGAAGGGGACAGACCGGAGGTCGCGGTGGTCAATAGTACGCCGCCACCGCCGGCAGTGGCGCTGCCGCCGTTGATCGAGAAAGGCTTCACGTTGCCACTCGCTGACACGGCCGACGAGGGCGACGCGAGTATACTGGGGGCCGTGGACGGCGGCATCACGCCGCTCAGTCCGCCCAAGGTCCTCGAGTAGGTCTCCAACAGAGACATGTCTCTGGTTCCGAGGTGGGAAGCGCCGTACAGATTTCGATAGAAGTCCGAGTGATGCTGAACGAACTGCGTTCCCGAGTGCATCGCCGGGTGAAGGGGATGATGAGGTGGCAAACGACTCGCCAAAGGACTCACCAGCTTCCCGCCACCGCCGCCGCCACCCCCGCCAGCGATTCCACCCCCAGCACCGCCGCTTCCTCCATAGGGAGACGAAAGACCGGTCATCGTGGTCGGCGTGGGACTCTGTTGTTCCCCGTCCTTGCTCGCCATGTCAGCCAACGACCAGATTCTGGGCTTCGTGGTCACCACGCTGCCCGTGGACGATGCGGTTGTGCTAGGTGGAAGATGGTGACTACTGGGCGGGGTGCTTTCCGGGGACGGGTGGCGCAACAGTCGACCGTGAGACGACGCGAGGTACGCGGGATGCTGCAGCTGCAACGGATGCCTGGGTTCCCTCTGGTCGTACAGGCACTCGGGGCTATCTGGACCGCTATCGGCTCGCGACTCGCTCCACTCGCTCTCGGTCCTACCTTGGACCCCGGTCGACCCTCCGCTGGTACCCAGAAGGTCCATCCTATGCGCGGGTCGCTCGCCGTCCTCGCTTGATCCGGTGCCCGAATCCTTTGAGTCTGTGGCAGAGAATAGGATTTGTCTCTCGGGCGATGAAAGAGGAACGGGATTTCTCGGCGGGCGTTTTGTTCGGGCCGGAAGAGAAAGGGTATATGGAAAGGACGAAAAGGTGGAGAAAGGTAGGCGGATGTTTGCCACGGTGCTTACCTAGGCGGTCTTTCTAAAAAAAGCTCTTCCTTCCACTGTCATCGTCCTCGTTGTTGTTGTCCTCGTCCTCGACCCTGTTCCTCGGCTCCCACGTCATCTTGTTCTCTTTCTTCAGGCGTCTCCGCGCGTTCGCGAACCACGTGGACACCTGAGTCAGAGTCATCTTCGTGATGATCGCCAGCATGATTTTCTCGCCCTTCGTCGGGTACGGGTTCTTCTTGTGGTCGTTCAGCCAGGCCTTCAGCGTACTCGTTGTCTCTCGCGTCGCGTTTTTTCGTCGGGCCCCGTTCAGATCCATGCCGTAACTGAAACAGAACGAGTCGGACCGATGTCTATTACCAAAACTCTTCCTCACACGCGTCCAACCTTCCATTTCCTCTTCTCGAAAGGTCAGCGGAGTGCAACGATCTGTCAAAAACCGAACTCGACGCGGACCTCTGTCACCGAGTATCGTAAAATCGAAGCAACTATTTCTAATTAAACCCGGTATTTTTAAGACGGAATGCTCCACTCGATCATCCTGCATCGTCGAATCCTTCGACGTCAGCCATTCTCTCGTCGCCGTACGATGCACGTGACCCGGATATAAGGCCGTCGGGGACACACACGGGTCGCGATACGTTATACGAGCGAGTCGGATAACAGAGAGACACATTGTGGGGCAGAGGGGAACCGCAGGAAGAGAAACGAAGAAGAAGAAGAAGAAGAAAAAGTAGAAGAAGAAGAAGAAGAAGAAGATGAAGATGAAAAAGAAGAAGGTAAAAGCCTCCGTTGGAAGCTCGTGTCGGGAAACTTATCCAATCGTGAGGCTCGTTACGCCTTCCCCCGGAGCTCGGTATAAAAGTCCGAGTCCTGCTCGGTTAGAGAAACGATATAAGCGGGTAGCTACTACTTTCATCCCGAGAGCAGATCTCTATCTAACGGTTTAAGCTCCTTCCTTCCATCCCGGTCGTAGAGGAGCGGAGTGGAGTGGAAAGGAGAGTGGCGGAGACAGAAAGAGAGAGAGCGGCTGATTTCCTCTGGCCCCTCGGCGCGCCGCGCCCAACTCGTCCAGAGCGACCGACCCCCTGGGATCCCATTACTAAAAGACTAACCCTTATCAAAGATTAAACTTCGGTATAACTGCTGAATCGACGGGATCGAAATTAAATTTTCCAGCGGCGAGCTCGGCCGGGAGATGCTTACTCCCTTCTTTCTCCCTTCCTCCAGAACTCTTCTAGCTTCTTTCTTCTTCCACCCCCCCTCGCGACATCTCGACATCCTTTCCGACGTTGCGGTATTCCCTTTGTTTCTTTCATACCGACGCAAACGCGAATTCGGTTTTCCTACAGAGTTCCCCACCACCCTGTCCGATAATTTCCGAGATAATTGCTCCAACGAACTCGCGAAATTGAACCCCTGTCATCGACACGGATCACACCCCCGGCAGAGTATCCGGAGAAACAGCGAGATCCCGGAGGAATCGGAGGATCTATAGCGAGGCTGCGTGACGGGCAGCCGCCATTATCGAGCTTTATTTTATTTTCACCCCCTTTCGCTCGCCAAGAGGCAGCCGTGTGTGGACGCGCGACTGACGTTGGGGAGTCGGTCGCGACGGGATGAGATGGGAAATTAATAAAACTGTCACTTATCTACCCTTCCCCGGGGCAGGCCTACACGCGCTATCTGCCGCCTTTCCTCCGTCTCCCTTCCAACCCCGTCTTCCCGTGCCGATTGTTCGCTTCGCGGCCCCGTCTGTCTCTCTCCTCCTCTTTGCTACGTACGAAGGCTGTACGCGGGATTCGCAGCAGCTGAAACGAGGCGCTAAACATTTCAATTTGACATCACGGTCGAGGGTGTAGACGCGCGTGCTCGCAGAGTTGCTGCTCCCTCCTCGTCGTCCCCGCGCGACCTATCCTCGCGTGCCATCCTCTCCGTGTATCCTATCCATCCGACAGAAGCGTCGAGGGTCGAAGGTTTGGTGCACGCGCGGCAAGAGAAGAGAGCGAAAGAGTGGAGACGGCGAACGGGAGGAAGAGGAGCCAGGAAGAGGAGCAGGAAGAGGAGCAGGAAGAGGAGGGCAGCAGGCACGGCTCGTCGGCGCGGCGTAGCCGGTGTAACAGAGAGGAACAGGAAGATAGAAAAGTGGCGAGAGAGGGAGGCGAGGATGGCTTAACCCCGGTCTGTTTGCGAGGAGCAAATGGCGTTCTGCAGTTATTTTAAAATTCAGCCGGTGGCAGGGGGTGCGGATCGGATTAAAAAATCAGAGTGGAAGCTTGTTTCTCATGATAACAGCCAGCCGCCCCCGAGAGCGGGAACTGCTGCTTTCTACCGATTCCGTCTCCCTGCCAGCTACCACCCTCTGCCTCACCCCGTTGTCGGCTCTCTTTCTCTCCGCCTCTTTCGCGTCCATCTGTCTCTTCCTTTTTCACCCTTCCTCCACCGCCCTCCGCTCCTCTCGCTGCTTCCTTTTCCTCGCGCGTGCTCCAACTTTTTCCTTCTCTTTCCACGCGACGCCTGCAATGCTTCCTCTCGATCTGTCTCTCGCTCGGCCTCCGCCGGTATCGCCATACAACCACCGTACGCATACACCGAGGGCTATTTCGTCGACCGCTTTAAATACGCCCGCGCTCTACGCCCACCCACCCACCCCCCGTTCTCTCCTCTGCCCGCGTATAGAGACGCGTCGCGTGTATATCTATATACAAATCGTATTATATACGCGTATATAGGCACAGCTATGATCGTACGCGCGCGTCAGATCGGCCTCTTTCCTCGCCTCGCGCGCGCAGGGGTTGATCGCATCAACTGCTTGTTTCCATGGCGATTGCTAATCGGCCCCGTCCTTCGCTTCCCGTTTCAACCTCGCGCCTTTGTTCGCCTTTCTCGCACCCCCCTGCCAGCCAACGCGTCGAACTAGAGGCAATCTGCCTAGAGACGACGGGGATGACTTTATCCCCGCTTTTTCTCTCGTTCCACGGCTCCTGTAAACCCTGCTTTCCTGCCTTCCCGTATCGTTCTGTTCTTCTTCTTTCCCTTATTTCTCTATCCTTTTTATTTTCTACCTCTTCCCGTGATCGATGCGCGCACGATCGTTCTTTTTTAGCGCTAATTTTAGAGCGATGTAAATTCGTTTCGTCCCCTTTGCTGGGTGCGCCGAGACACGGAGGACACCGGGAACACCCTCTCCCCTTCTGCTTCTGCCGGAAGGAACGATGCGAGAGCGAATGAACCATTAATGCCCGGTGAAACGGCCATTTCTCGCGACCCTCGGCCACACGGCGGTTAACGTAAACGCGTTTGTCATGGCGTAGCCTTTAAGAGGGATAAGAACGGGGGTGAGTGACCATGGCCAGTTCGAAACGAGGCAGGTGTGCGGCTTTCGACCGACTCCGCCCCTCGTTACCGCTCGTAACTAGGGGTGATATCCGACTTCTTTTTTCCCTCTCTGTCGTTCTCGCGTTACCACCTCTGTCCCCTTCCCCGCCCCTAGGCCTCTATCGTCCGCGCGCACACCTTTCCACAGGTACGGTCGCGGGCTTCGCGCGGCGCTTTATCAACGCGAAGGTGCAGCCATTTCGCTCACGGCGCCATCTTCCCTTCGTCGGTACGTGTGTGCACGCACACCGCGCGCTTCCCTCGCACGCGTTCACTCGCCTAGAAGGTACCTGCCTCGTGGTCGCGTTTCGGGTTAATCAACCGCGAAGCCACGCCAACCTTCTGCGGCCCCTTTCATCTGTCCATCCGCCTCCGCCTCCGATTCATGGTCAGCCAGGGTATCGCCACGGTTATACGCCGTGTTCCCTGGCTAGTAGACAGCCTTGGATATTCCTCTTTTATTTTCACCATCACCCACAACCTTTTATTTTTATCGATATTGCCGAGCTTTTTAGCCAAATGCCTAGCCACGGGGGTGTAAATGGCATCGGGACCGAGGGTGAGAGGCCTATTTTTCAAGCTCTCGAGATTCCATGACCAGGAACTATCCCCGGATGTAGAAAAATAGTCTGCTGTATCGAAATTCCGAAAATTCCATAAGAAAATTTAACAATTCACCGAAATTATTCGCAGTATATGGCATTTGGTCACGATTAGTACTCGAACGCAGGGAAATTATGAACGTGACACCGTTCGTACGATAGTCGAGGGTAAATCGAATTAGAATGGGCAAGGTAAAGAATTGTCGGTAAAGAATCGAAGCGAAGTAAGGCAAGGCGACAAAAGACGACAATGACGATTCTCCCTCGGTGGTTTACGAGTACACGCAGCGTGTACCGATGTCGCCGCGTTAAGCTCTCGGAAGCGCTCGGAGACTCGCGACACGTCGCGTGGAAGTTTCGCGAACGTGGTGACAGTCGGTTGTTCCACATCCAACTTTATTACCAGTTGCTCGCGACGTGACAGATCGATCGTAAACTCGCCGGCTCGCGCGTGTGAACGTGTACCTGGAACGAAGCTCGCGAGCAGGAGGCAAGTGCACCCACACACACCGGAGCACGGCTAACTCTCGCGACGAAGATTATACAATCTCCAGCTTCCCCTGGCCCCGTTGCGCGGGCAACCGAGTTTATATAAAATGATACACGGTTCGCTACTTTGTCACACGATCGTTTAAATCCATCACGGGGCGCGCACCGGCCCCGTAGGGGCCGCGATTAAAGTCAGTCGCCGCTGAATTATCGTCGGCCGAGATTACTCGCAGGATCGCTGTTATGGCTAACTCGCGAAAATTTACAAAAGCCAAACGACGTGGCTCTGCACGGCTATACACGCTCGTGTCTCTCCTTCGCCGTGACGCGCGCGAGTATTTCGCGCTCGATAAAGAACCACCCCGACGTGACTGTGTAATTCGCGTCCACGAAATTACCGAGCTTCGACGAGTTTAGCCCTTTAACTGCCACGCCGAAATTACGTGTTTCGGCTCAGGACGCCACGCGAGTGAACCGCTAGACGCAAGATTAGTTCTAATATCTTTTTCATCGATGTTCTAATTTTAATACAAATTTTTAAGTGTCCAATGTGGCACCTTTTGTTTTAAAGTGTCTTGTAATTAGCGCTTGTATTCGCAATTCAACAACTGTCAATTTTCCTTCGAGTTTTACAATTGTAGTATACAAGTAAGCTGAAATTCTCTGGGCACCGATGACCACCGTGACGTCGCAGGAGAAACCGTGGCTAAGAAACACGTTCCTTCCGTTTCGGATTAACCCTTGCAGTCGGCAGATTTCGTTCTTGGGAGTACCAGCAAGTCGGAGCAAATTTGGCGTTTCGCAATTACTTTTCCGTGTAAGATTTAAAGTCAATATATGGATATTAACCCTTTGAC